ACCAGAAGGCAAGACAAGAAACAATGGATGGAAACTAATCAAGGAGAGAAGCAACCTGGAATTAAGGAGAAACTTCCTAACAGGGAGGACAATTAACCAGGGGAACGGCTTGCCACAAGAAGTTGTGGGTGCTTCATCACTGGAGGTTTTTAAGAAGAGACTGGTCAGCCACCTGTCTGAAATGGCTTATGGTCTGGAAGACCTCCAAGGTCACTTCCATCTCTATTCTGATTGATTGATTAATATGTATTGGAAATACAGCTTTTTCCATTTTCCAATACTGAGACAAGGAACTCTCTTACCTGTTCCAAGATGTTCTTAAGGTGAGAATATGCTTCCTGAGGGGTAAATTTGAGTTCCAAGATGAGACGATCTATTTTATTAATCACCAGGACTGGACGGATGTTTTCCAGCCAAGCTTGACGTAACACTGCATGTGTCTACGACAAAACACAATTTTTGTGTTCACAGAAGGTTATGAAGTAAAACACACAAATAGGGATTTGTAGCACCTTTGGGTCCAAGGCTGAGACGCTTTGAACTGAGCGTGGGCACAGATGTCACTTGTCAGCCTTTCTTTTTTGGAGTTCACACAGTAGCTGCACCATGCCAGGAAAGTACATAATTTGAGCTAAGGAGGTGCCAACTGGGTATGGTAACAGGCTCAGAGAGGGCACTGGCTCCTTGTCAGTGTTTCTTAACCCATACATCTATTTTCCTGGGACTTCATAGCTAATGAGTCAGCTTAGTAAAAAGTGTAGCATCTCGAAAGAGTTGTATCCACGCTTGTTCTAAACCTTCACTTTCAACTATGGAATATTATAGATCTCTATAAAACAAAACTCATCTTACAAACAGTAACGATCTAACTTGAACTAAAGCATGGATGATGGCAGATGCTAATGAACCGTTCTGTTATATCCTTTCACAGAATTACTTTTATTACAAACACACACATCATAGTCACCAAGTGAAGTTAAAAACTAAAACCAGGTTGTTCTTAAAGGCTTGGTGGAGCAATGTTTAGAATGCAGCACTGAAGGCTAACTCTGCCGACTGCCAGGAGTTCGATTCCTGACCGGCTCAAGGTTGACTCAGCCTTCCATCCTTCCAAGGTCAGTAAAATGAAAAGCCAGATTGTTGAAGGCCATATGCTCTCTGTAAAACTGATTAGAGAGGGCTGTAAAGCACTGTGAAGCAGTGTATAAGTCTAAGTGCTAATGCTATTAAAGTTAGCAACTATAAACATATGTGCTTTTCGGCTTGGCATACTTGGATCAAGAACCTGCCTTAATTCCTGGTGTTAAAATCCAACAGATGTGAAAGACCCACTGTTATTGATATTTTATCGTTTATTAGTGAAAAGCATCTTGTTTTCCAATACCTGTGGGCAGACTCCTTCCACAGCATCTACCACAATGATGCAACCATCACAAAGTCTGACAGCTGTGGACACCTCTGAAGAGAAATCCACATGGCCAGGGGAGTCTATCAGATTGATGAGGTGTTCCTGATTATCTAGAATCAAAGAAAAAACAAAATTAAATGACAAGTATTTTGGAAGTGAAGCCAGAAAGCAAATGAACTACCATTAAACAGATGAATGTGTCTGCTCAGGTATTTTCTCTTCTACCAGATAGAAGTACACTATAAAATTTAATGTATCTGTTTGCAGTCAGTAGTTTCACGTTATTGCTGGGTAATCAACTATAGTTTGTTAGTGGTTTGAATTAAATATATATTCTCTGTGCTTGTGCAAACTATATTTTTGTATTTCAGTAACTATGCAACCTTTAAACTTTCACCCATATCTTTATTCTTCACTGCTCATCCTTTTAAAAATTGGTCTGTGGGTTTAAAAAATAACAGATCATGATTTCATTTGAACAGATCATATAATAAGTAACAGAGTAGGAAACAATTACCAATTAAAGCTCAATTCAGGGAGACTATTTTATGATCATTCAACATTTTAACAGTTCAACAGTTCAAATGCACACAGAGAATGTGCTTAACTACTTTACCTTTCACAAAGAGCAATGAAATTGCACTTGACTTCATTGTGATACCTCGAATCTGCTCATCTTCTCGGCTGTCCAAATATCGCAGCTGCATGGATGAAAATCACAAAGCATGTGTTTCCCTATACATTCCATAGGTTTTCGTGACAAAACATTAATATTTAAAATAAAAGATTGAATAGATCTTAAAGCACCTTTCCTGCCAATCTTCTAGATATTATTCCGTTGCTAGAAATGAGACAATCGGCTAAAGTTGTTTTGCCTAGAAAGAGAAATAAAGAAAAACAATAATCAATTTCCACCAAATATGATTATAGTGTTTTGGGTTTTTTTGCTGACAACTCAGCAAGAAAAGAATAATTTTTTTTTGGCTGACAACTCAGAAAAATACATTTTTTGCAGAATCATAGAGTTGAAAGGAGGTTTTTTTTAGCCCAGAAAGTCCAATATTTTGCTCAGTGAAAGAATTAAAGTTAAAGCATTCTCCAAAAGGGAAGGCTGTACTGCTTCTGCAGCCTGCTTGAAAATATGTAGCAAAGAATACAAAACAAAAACAAAAAACTCCACAAAAACTTCATCCATATGGCAATTTGTTACTTTTATGCCTGGCTTCCTCTGAAACCATACACTAGTTGTTCTCTAGAGACACAAAGTCCATGTAACACCAGCGATTATACAATAAAAACAAATAACGCTTGTTGAAACAAATTAACTTAAACATACGCATATATTCACAAATAGTTATTCTTTAAAGTGGAGGTTATTTCTCTTACCATGGTCTACATGAGCCAGTATACAAATATTCCTGATGCAGGCAGTGTTTTGCTGAAGTCCAGTTGTTTTATTTGAACTAGCAAGAACCATGGTTTGATGTTTTACTGTAAGGAAAAGTATTTCATATTGAAAACAGGAAGATGCAAACTCAAAAACAAAACAAAAACCCTTCAGAGGTTTGGGTTAGTTCTTAGCTTTCCAAATAGGTAAGGAATGTATATGACAAATACATCTGGTTTTGCCCTGAAGCAGTTAACCCAAAATCACACAATGCATATTTATCTTTTATGAGAAACAAAAGCAACAAATTCAAATACTGAATAGTACAACCACTAACACTAATATTTCATGTTTTCCATATATATGTATCTATAGCTGCATAATAATAAAGACCTTCTGCCATTTTCTTTAGTCAAAATCTGCTACTGGTATCTCTCTGTTCCAATTCTTTTCAGTATCTTAAGAAGCTGTCAACAGGTGTTAGAAACATAGGCTCAACTCTTTCAAAGAAAAACAAGACAAATGCAGAAAGCAAACTATATTCCTCCAACATGAAAGGCATACCTCATTTTTAAAGCCAAACTAATTAATCACTACCTTATGACTGTGATTCCTTTATTAAAAGCCTCACCTTACACAAAATTACTCATTTCATTAGGAGGGCTGATATAAACAAGAAAAATTAGGGTGCAACCTCACATGAGATTACAAAATATATAGTTATTAAAGACACTGAAGGATAAATGTATCTTGTACATATTTCACAAACAAGCAAGCAAGCAAACAAACAAACAAAAGGACCCCTTAAAAGGGGAGAGAAAACAGAGGTGCGTTCCCATGATCTGGATCATTAGGCCCAGCCACTATGATCAACTTTGGATTAAATTATGCAAAGTTGTGGCATCAGACTAACTGGAATCTACTGGAATTGGGCACCTAATCAATTCAGATCAATCAATTGCTACCATATTTAACTTTGGGAGGGCACCAGGGTTCCTTTGGACCCAGCATATAGAGAAACACAGTACAGATAATCCTCAATTTACAACCATTCAGTTAGTGGCCGTTCAAAGTTGCAGCGGCACTAAAAAAAGTGACTTATGACAGGTTTTCACACTTATGACTGTTGGAGCATCTCTATGGCCACGTGATCTAAATTTAGATGCTTGGTAACTGACTCATATTTACGATGGTGGCAGCATCCCAGGGGTCACGTAATCCCCTTTTCCACCAAGCCAAGCCAGATTCACTTAATGACTGTGTTACTAATTTGACAACTTAACAACTGTACTAACTGTCTCGCTTAATGGAAATTTTGAGCTCCATTCTGGTTGTTAAGTCAAGGACTACCTGCATACCAAAATAGTCCAGGTAGTCCTCAACTGAGTCCTCAACCACAACTTAGGCCAACATTTATCCTGCTAAGTGAGAAATTTGTTGAGTTTTGCCCCATTTTACAGCTTTTTCTTGCCACATTTGTTAAGCAAACCACTGCAGTTGTTAAATTAGTAACCCGGTTGTTAAGCGAATCTGGTTTCCCCATGGACCGTACTTGCTGGAAGGTCGCAGAAGGGGTTCACATGAGGTTGCAACCTCATAAATGTGAATCAGCTGTCAAGCACCGGAAGGTAAATCCCTTGACCATGAGGCTGGTGCGTTAAGTGTGAAAAAACGGTCATAAGTCACTTTTTCCATTGCCAGTGTAACTTTGGTCACTAAGTGAACCGTTTTAAGTCGAGGACTACCTGTATCACCCCGTCTGTTCTCAAGGGGCTTCAATGGGGGGTTTCTGTCCTCATTTCACCCCCACAAAAACCCCACCAGGGGAAGTTAGCCTGCGGGACGGGACGGGACGGGGGCGACTATCGGAGCTTTCCCGGGCAAGGCGGGAGGATTCCTCGGCGTCCAAACCGGCTCGCCCGCCCCAAAAGGAAGCTAAGCTCCGCCCCTTTCCCCGTGCGACCCCATTGGACTGACCTCCGCGGCGCCCGATACCCGCCTTTCCCGGTTCCAACCGGAAGTCCGTCTGGGCCGCCGCTCCGCGCGACTCGTCGAAGAGGATGGGCGGAGCTTCTGGAAGCCGGGACTCCTCCCCCTCTCCCCCGAGGGCGTGGCGAAGATACGGAAGCCGGGAGGGGCAAGAACGCCGGGAGTGTTGCTAAGCGACAGGGCGCTTCCCTAGTTACCGAGGAGGAGGATGAGGAGGAGGAGGGAGGAAGAGGCCGCGAAGGCAGCTGCGGGAGACGCGAGGATGAAGCAGCCGCGGTGCTTGTGCCAGATTTGCACTTGCGGGTAAGAGAGCGGCGAGGACGGGGAAGGTTTCTGAAGAGGCGGCAAGCGGCGCGTCTTCGGAGCCTCCGCGCCTTTGCCGCAGGGAGCATCGCGGGGGTCGTTCCCACGTAACGTGTTCTCTACGCGAGTGTGCCCGGGAGGACAGCCCCGATGGGGTTCTTTCCGGGGTGATGGAGCGGTGTCATGCGAGCCAAGGCGGCTTAGCATCCCTGTCCAGCGACCCGCCACGCTTTTTCCCCCTTTTCAGCCCGACCTACTCCACGAGGTTGTTGTGTATTTAAAAAAATGGAATTAAAAAAAAGAGACATGTTCTTCTAGCCTCCACCAAGTTGATTGGATAAGAAGGGGATTGTGCCCATTTTATCCTCCTTACCTGCTTCGTTTCTTTTGACTGACTAGCCAGAGTTACTGGGAATCAAGCAGTGCATAAATTTAATATATTATTATTTCAGAGCAATCCCCTCATCTCTGGTGTATAGAGTTGAACTCTTGCTCTCTCTCTTTTTCTTGTTTGCCTGCCACTAGTTTGAAAAATCTCATGCTAGTGGCAGGCAAGAAAGCCAGCCAGCAAGAACAAGAAAGAACAAAATCTCAAGTCTGAAATGTTTTTATCTGCTGCTGAAATAAGGGTCAACTGGTGTGTGGCGCTCACTGGTAGGCAACCCATGAGCCCAGAACTGCAATTATATACATGTATGGCAGGTATAGGAGGTGTGGAGGCCATGACTATTAGTGTGTCCTATATAGTCAATGCCTGTCGGGTAGGTGGATGGATGGATGGAGAGAGAGAGAGAGAGAGAGAGAGAGAATGATGGGTGAGATAGATAGAGATAAAAGATGATGGATGTGATAGATAGATAGATAGATGATAGATAGATAGATAGATAGATAGATAGATAGATAGATAGATAGATAGATAGATAGATAGATAGATAAGATGATGCGTGAGATAGGTAGGTAGGTAGGTAGGTAGGTAGGTAGGTAGGTAGGTAGATAGATAGATAGATAGATAGATAGATAGATAGATAGATAGATAGATGATAGATAGATAGATAGATGATAGACAGACAGGCAGACAGACAGACAGAGAGTGATAAAGACAGATGATGGATGGATGGGGTAAATAGATTAGATAGATAGATAGATAGATAGATAGATAGATAGATAGATAGATAGATAGATAGATATAAGATGATGGATGAGATAGATAGATAGACAGACAGACAGACAGACAGGATGATGGATGAGATAGATAGATAGGATGATGGATGAGATAGATAGATAGATAGATAGATAGATAGATAGATAGATAGATAGATATAAGATGATGGATGAAATAGATAAATAGATATAGACAGACAGACAGACAAAGAGAGATGATGGGTCAGATAGATGAGAGATGGATGGATGGATGGGAAAGATAAATGGATGGATTGATAGAATAAACAGAAAGCAGCAAAGCACCATACTCTGGCTTCCTAATTGCTTGCAAGAATGCCTTGGAATCCATAAAGGTCCCACCGGGTTGATATAAATCCCTTTGGGCTGTTAGTTTACTTCTGGTAAATGGGTGCTTTATGATTGGCCATGCCCACCATGGCTTCTATTTTATGAATTGGCAAGTCCCCCATTGCAGCCATTTTGTGAGTGTATCCACCTTATATTTTCAAAATGCCAATGCTCCCCAAGCTGAAAGCATTTTATTTACTTGCGGTATGCAGCCATGAAAGAGCAGAAATTGATTGATGTTAATATCGGGGAACAACCCTAGATCATATGTTCCACAGTCTGTCTTGGAGATTAAGTGGCACCTGTTCCTTGTCACTTTCAATCCCTAGTACTCAATGAACATCTCAGGGCAATGCTGGGCAGCTTTAAGAAAAAAGTTTGCGTGCATCACATTTCTTTTAAGCAGAAAACCAAATGGTTGCTGAGAGACTGCCCATTGTACAATTCTGCATGGTGACTATGTTGCCTTGCACTTGGGTTGGTATGTTCCTCTGCTTCCCTTTTGTATGTGATTTAATTTCTTCATCAGTTATTCATAGCAAATACAGCAGAATTACTCATCCTTGAAGGAGGCTGACAGCTACAGTTTTTTCTCTACCACCATTTTAGAGTCGTTTTTTTTGGCTCCAAAGATATGTCCGAAAACAAAACCATCCACCCTGAATGTGATAATTGTGTTTCGGCATGTTGTGTACACTTATAAAACAAAACAGAACACATAGCAAGTGATGTGTGTGGATGTGGATGCGTAATAGTAGTTGAAATTGTAGCTTGCTATTAGGAAACAGGAGTGAAGATTATTACTGTTTGAGCGATGAAAATCTCTCCACTGGAGTTGCTTATTGGTACCAAAAGAGAATTCTGTCAACATAAATACTAGCTTTAGAAAAGACATACTAGCAAGATAATAGCAAAAGGGGAAATAATTAAATGTCTGTCCCAATGCGCACACATATCCAGCAAAAATATACTAGAACCAAACACATATACATTTAATTTTACCCTGAGGACCATTAAACATTACATACATACATACATGTATGTGTATATATATATATATATATATGGTGTTCGGCTTGGTTCGGGTATTTTCCCACGTCATTGTAGTTGTTCTTTTAAAGTTGTAGCAACGTTTCAGCAGAATCTCATCTGCCATCATCAGGCTT